CCTCCCCTACAGAGAGGCCTGGCTCCCAGAAGCCCAGTGCTACCATTGTCCTTTCTCCTTCCTCTCCCCACCCCTTTTTCTTTCCTTCTCCCTCCCCTCCTCCAGCCCTCCCGGTGTTCCCTTACTCCTCCCCTTTCTCTACCACTGTGTCTTTTCCCCATGCCTTCCATTTGCACCCAGGACCGAGCCTTTGCAGGTAAGACATGGAGGACCTTTCTGAGTCAGGGGACATCAGCTCTCTGTGGCGCATGCTCATGAGCGGTAACTCTCTGAGGCGTCTCACGGCAGTTCGGTCTGTCTCTGGCTTCTGTTTACCAGGCAGTGTTGTTTCTTTGTTTCCTTTGTGACTTCCATCCTTCCTTAAATTCCTGCCAAAGTAAGCTAACTGACCTCGGGGGAAATTACAAAAGCAATCAGCCTCCCGGCCAGCTAGTTGTCATGTGACCAGTGACTTTGCTCAGGTGGTCAAAAATCAGGAGACAGCTTTCCCCTTCGGTGGGGTGTCTAGGGTGGGACCAGTTTGGGAAGCTAGGGACAATTTTTGTGGGGATCGCAGGCCCAGGAAAGAGAAACAGAGAGTTAACAGAGCCCTCCCAGTGATAAGAGTGAGGGCGAATGAATGAAGGATGTTGCTTAACCTCCTCCCTCAGCCTTCTAAAGCGTGCTGACTCACCGAGGGAGAAGGAGCGGCCTTTTCCTGTGCTTTCCACTCAGCACTTCAGCGATTCCCACAGCCCTCCCTGAGAAACCAGCCTGGGAGCTAGGACTGACCTGCTGCTACCGCTGCAGTTCCCCCACTCCCAATTTCCTTTACTTATTTATCTAGTTAGTTATACTTATAAATCTATTCTTTTTGGCTGTCACAAGATAAATTTTTAAAGCATTTAAAAATTTTTGAGATTATAATTTAATCACAAACCTTTCCATCTCCTTCTTCCTATTCTCCTTCAAATCATGGTCCTTTTCTCACTAATTGTTATTCCATATATATATGTATTTGTGTATACATATCTATTCCCAAATAGAACCTGTGCAGGCCATGTAATGGTGCTTGCACGCATGTTTCCGGGCTGAGTATTTGGCACTGAACGACCAATTGGTGTGCTCCTCCCTAAGGAGTACCACCTTGCCCACTCCCAGCCTTCCTCAGTTGCCACGATTCTTTATGGGTGTATTCCTATTACTGGGAAACACAGGCTCATAGAAAACTTTCTAATTCTCTGTCTGTGACAGAATTTCTGCCCCCTCTTCCAAAATGTTTCCTGAGCCTTAGGTGTGGTTCTGTTTTGTAGACACATGCATTGGGACTAGGCTCCAGAACCTGGCGTTTTGATTAGTTGTGTTTTTCTATACTAGTCTCCATCTGTTGCAAAAAGTTTCCCTGATGAAGAGTGAGGAGTACCTTTATCTGTGGGTATAAGACACATGCTTATAAGTTGTTGGTTGAGATTATGCTGGTTGAATAAATTAGTAGTTTTCTTCCAATAACCATACTTTGATTAGCACTGAATAAGTAGCTAGGTTTCAAGTCCTAGACATTGTTCCCTATTGTTGAGCAGGTCTTAACTCCAACTAGAGAGCCGTTGGTTACCACCAAAATCTGTGTGCCATTACTGCACCCTTCGGGTTATTGTGCCAAGCTGATCATTGATGGGACTCATAGGCATCACAGTTGGTAAGATTACTGGTAGCCTCCCTCCTTTGGAAGCCTGCATGGCGCCTTCTGGTATCAGGAAAGCCATTCCTCAGGGAGGGTATGTTCAGGTCAATTCCAGCTCAGGGGTCTCTGGGCCGTTTCTGAAGTAGACAGTGTCTTCAGAGATTGGGACTTTCCTTCCACTTCTGGGGAAAGGGAGTGGTAACCATGGACAACAGCAGTAGGTTGTATGTTTTGCGAGTCTCTTAGCTAGCCATGCCCAGCAACTCAAAGAGGGCTTCTAATGTCTACTATTAAGGTTTTGTTAGGTGATCTTTGGCTATTTAAGGGAGCATTGTCAGCTCAGATGAGAAAATTTCATTAGAATTATAGATGTATGTTTATGCATAGAATTGCATGTATCATAGGTGTTTTTTTGATAAATAGTTAAGAGTATGATTCCTTGTGGCAGTTTCATCCATCCTTGTTGGCACTGTACCACCTCCCTCCTCGTGTGCATACCTCGTTTCCTAAGGAGCCTCCACATTCCCCAAAGCAAAAGGTTAAAGTACAGGTGAGACTTAACTGTGACAAAGAGGCATGGTGCCCAAATGACCCATGTTTGAGAAACATTGTCCTAGAAGAAGAAAAGCGCAGAGAGCACTGTGAGCTTCTGTTACTGTTTGCAGTCATTCCTGACTCAGCCCAGTGGCATTGAATATGGATCAACTGATTGTGTCTATACATATATGCCCATGTGTGTGATGGCCAGAGGTTGATACTGTCTTCTTCAGTTGCTGTGCTACTGGATCCAGGAGACTGACTGGCCAGGGAGCCCTCAGGATGCTCCTGTCCGGCTCTCCGGTGCTGGGATTACAGGCACACGCCTCCATCTCTGGTACTTTCCAGTGGTGCTGAGGGAATCCTTATGCTTGCACAGAAAGCACTGTACAGCTGAGCCGTCTTCCCAGCATCCTCAAATACCAATTAAAAACAAAGACAAGGTCGGGCATGCTGTAGCAGTCAGAGCTATATAGTGAGACCCTGTCTCAACAAACAAGACTGAATTCGGGGAATGACCACGAGTGAAGGGGGTATAAAGCAAATTGTTTTTCTAATTCTAACTCTGTCACAGAGTTTTGTTTGGGGTGGTGAATGAGCATTTGATTATGGAAAAACAATACCCAACGTGAAGCTCCACAGCTTCCTTTCCAAATGGTTAATTTAACTCTACAGGAGCTCATTGAGATGTATAGTTTTACGATCTGGTTAATTTCAGTATGTGATTTTTTGCAAAGTTTTTTTAAATAATAAAGTTTAATTCCCTTTGTGTGGAAGGGTCCTTTGGGCTTTACAGCTGTCAGGGAAACGATCTGCAAAAATACAAGAATAAAACTTGGTACAGTCCGATTTTGGTACTGGGCCGGGATTTCTAGGGTCTGACATCAGATCATTTACTTTAGCCATAGGTAAGCACAGCACAATTTGGGAGAAAAGTTTTCCGAAAACGATTAACTCAGCCCTGTGAGTACAACAAGCTCAAGACATGTTTACATGGAAATCCTTTACAACGTACGCTGGCTTCATCTGTAAGATTGGCTTGTGTTGACAGAGAAGCCATGCTGAAGGTAAATGGTCTAGGGAGAAGGGCTGAGGTAAATGTAACAGCTGGCCCTAAGATAACAGAGAAGTCACTTAGGCTGTTGTAAAGTACAAATGGCATCTCTCACAAGGATGAGTTTTATGACCTAGAAGTCATTGCTCAAGGTTTTAGGGGGAAAGGTGTGGGAGGAGTAAAACATAATCAGACAACAAGGGTTCACCAGGTTGTAAGCTGCCTCCATTCCTGGCATTCCAGGGGGAACGTCTCTTTCCTTTGAAGGGTGCCTGCGAGTTTAACTTTCCTGGCTTCTCCAGCACTTAGCTGTGTGCCAAAGCATTCTTTTGCTGTCTACATCTTTGTTAGCTTTGCGGATTCTGGAAAGATAGCGACGGTCTAAGAGGAGAAGGCCATGTTAGAATATTTTATCTTCTTTCAGAGGCTGATGCCAGAGACTCGGTATGACTACCTATTTGACTTTGGTGGTGTTAGCTGAAGGCCTTTTGGGAGTCACTTACTGAAGCCATGGGTCCTGAAATGGATCCTGGTTGCCATCTTTCCTCCCTCTTTCCCCCTCTCTCCTCCCTGGTCTTCATGAAGAGACAGAGGTGCTCTGCCATGCCTTCCCCAAAGTGAAGGATTGAAACCAAGAGGTATCTTGAATTTTGCATACAAGTGGATGGAAATAGAAAACACTATCCTGAGTGAGGTAACCCAGACCCAAAAAGAGGAACATGGGATGTACTCACTCATATTTGGTTTCTAGCCATAAATAAAGGACATTTAGCTTATAATTCACGTTCCTAGAGAAGCTAAATAAGAAGGTGAATCCAAAGAAAAACATATAGGCACCCTCCTGAATATTAACCTTCATCAGGCGATGAAATGAGACAGAGACAGAGACCCACATTGGAGCACCGGACAGAAATCTCAAGGTCCAAATCAGGAGCAGAAGGAGAAGGAGCACGAGCAAGGAACTCAGGACCGCGAGGGGTACACCCACACACTGAGACAATGGGGATGTTCTATCGGGAACTCACCAAGGCCAGCTGGCCTGGGTCTGAAAAAGCCTGGGATAAAACCGGACTTGCAGAACATAGCGGACAATGAGGACTACTGAGAACTCAAGAACAATGGCAATGGGTTTTTGAGCCTACTGCACGTACTGGCTTTGGGGGAGCCTAGGCAGTTTGGATGCTCACCTTACTAGACCTGGATAGAGGTGGGCGGTCCTTGGGCTTCCCACAGGGCAGGGAACCCTGATTGCTCTTTGGGCTGATGAGGGAGGGGGACTTGATCGGGGGAGGGGGAGGGAAATGGGAGGCGGTGGCGGGGAGGAGGCAGAAATCCTTAATAAATAAATAAATTTAAAAAAAAATAAATGAAACCAAGAGGTAGGCTAATCTTCCCTCCCTGATATTGTTCTCTTGCCGCAGTGACAGAAAGGCGAATACATTTAGTGGTGCAGAATCCCACCAACAGCAATGAATTACGATCGTTGTTGAATAACTCCCTGGTAAAATTCTTTGGCATGACACTCTCCTGTTGGAGTAGAGAAATGCAAGAGACAGTGAAGACGGGGGAGAGGGAGAATCCTTCAGTGACATTTGCTTTGTTGACAGTGTCCTTTATCTCTTCAAGGTCAGCAGTGAAAGGCAGGATCCTGGACGGTGGCCCTGAATCCTGATTGCCTGTCTGTCAGGGAGACACATGTGGTCAAAGATGAATTTGAGCAAATGTTGACAATGTCCTTTATCTCTTCAGGGTCAGCAGTGAAAGGCAGGATCCTGGTCGGTGGCCCTGAATCCTGATTGCCTGTCTGTCAGGGAGACACATGTGGTCAAAGATGAATTTGAGCAAAGTAGCTGCTGGCTACTCGAACTATGGAAAAGCAGGGCCATTATGAGATGGGAGCCGTCCCACCGGGTTGCCACTCCCACATTAAACTGCTGAAGATCAACAGGGAACATCTGGTCACCAACATCCGCAACACTCAGTGTCTGGTGGACAACTTGCTGAAGAATGGCTACTTCTCAGCGGAAGATGCAGAGATCGTGTGTGCCTGTCCTACCCAGCCCGACAAGGTACGGTGAGGGACACTGGTCCTGACAGTGACGGACCTGGGTTTCTAGCAGCTCTTCCCCTACCCTGATCCCGGAAAAGGGAGGATTTGCTATACTGGACCAAATTTCCCACTGGGATCTTTGTTTTTGTTGTTATTGCTGCTGCTGTTGCTGTTGCCATCCCCAGCTCAGCTTCTGCAGCATGGGGTGTATTGATCACAGGTGTGCGTGCACACTGAGTTCTGCGGGGTTATTTTCATCCTTGTGCCCCTTATGCATTACAGAACAGCTTGATTACAGATGTGTCCTCACGCTGGGGCCTTAGTAGAACATAAATGAGCTTCCTGCCAAGCCAGTTTACTTCTGTTTGAGGCTGGCACAAGCCCTTCCATTTCAGCTCTCCCTGTAGCGAGTGTTGATCCCTAGGCCAACTTGTGCTTTAAATGAGTAGGTGAGAAAAGAGCATGGCACTTGGTGTCTCAACACCCCAAGGGGCCAGAGGCACCCACAAAGCCAGATTTAGAAGCGACTGCCTCCTTAGGTGGGACCCCATTGAAGACTTTCCCACGCTATGAATGAGGAAGTAGAACCATCAGTTCCCTCTGCTTGGCAGTATGGTCTGCAAACTAAGAGAGTACCCCAAGTCTCTGGATAGAAAAGTGAAGTGCCTGTTTGAGATGAGGCAGGCAGGGGCTAAAGACACCCAAAGAACTTCTAGGGGGGCCCACAGCACACTGGTATGCTTTGGTTTCTTCTCTTGACACCCTCTTTCTTGGCTTTTTGAGACAGAATGCCCCTCTGTAGTCTAGGTTGAGTTGAAACTCTAATCCCCCTGCCTCAGTCCTCTGAGTGCTAGGACTTAGGTGTGTGCCGCTATATACAGCTCCCCGTTGCTTTGCCTGTGTTTTTAATATGAAGGCCAGTTTGAACATGAGCTTTGATGGGAGTCTGTTACCCTCCTGCAGCTAGCCCGGATACGCTTCTTCCTCTTGTCTCTAGGGTGACTACCTCCTAGCACACTTATCCCTAAATGACAGTGACAAGAGGTTAGGAGGGAAAGTCCACAGCTGGAGGGCTTTTCCCATGTCTCTTCTGTTTTTAGGCTCACAGATGCTTCCTGGCTTCTTATTGCCGTGGGGATGAATTCTTGCTAACGAGGCCCACTTTGCAGATTCTATGCAGACTCTTACACAGGCTGTGCAGATGGTCAGGCCATTGCACAGTACAGTAGTACTAACACCTGGAACCCCGCCTGAGAGCCCCTGGGATCCTTTTGGCAGGGAGATACACCCTCACACCAGCTCATGCTCTTAATGTTTGTGCCATCCATAGGTCCGAAAAATTCTTGACCTGGTGCAGAGCAAAGGTGAGGAGGTGTCTGAGTTCTTCCTCTACGTGCTACAGCAACTCGAGGACGCTTATGTGGACCTCAGGCTGTGGCTATCAGAGATCGGCTTCTCCCCTTCCCAGCTCATTCGAAGCAAAATTATCGTCAATACTGACCCAGGTAGGAGTCAGCCCCAGCAGGACTATAGGCATGGATATGAAAGAAGGCACTGGGGTCTGGGAGTGCTATCATACTGTGGCCCAGGTGGGCATAAAAATGTAACCAGCAAGGCCAACCTGGCTGCCTGAGCTCTATCTCACAGAGGAAGCCCCGGTGCTCCTTCCATTTTGGAAAGAAGAGATGGTCTCTGGCATCAGAGTGCAGCCTAGGTCATTGCAACTGAACACAGGGAGCTTGTCTGCTTCCTTTTGCTTGCTTTGGTTCTGGGGATAGAACCCCGGGCCTTATGCATGCTAGGCCAGGGCCTTACCAGAGTTATACACCCCAGCCCCTCTCATCTGGTTTATTTAGGAGCCCCGGGAATTTTGGAAGGCCTTAGCTCTGAGTGCTTGTGCAATTAGACACAGCACTAGCACAGTTTTGACACCATGTTTTTCTTTTTTAAAGTTTGTTCTAGGTGGGCTAAGATGTCACTCAGTGGTGATGTATTTACCTAGCACCTAAAGGCTTTGAGCTCAACCTCCAATATACAAGTAATAAAGAAAAATACCTTTCCCCAAAACAACGAGATTCTAGACGAAGTTCTTCGGTTACTCAGGATCCAGTCTATATTTTCAAAGTGCTGCCGACCTCATGAGTTGACTGGTTAGCTCCATAATTTTTATGCCCAACCTACACCTGTGGAGGCACTGTGTTGGCTTCTGAGGATGCAGCGATAAGCAGGGACAGAACATGACTGTCTTCCGGGACTTCAGAGTCTATGGCAAGGCGACAGGACAGCAGCAGCGGAAGGTGCAAGTGGTGAGGGTAGAGTCTGCTGTGGGAGGGGCACCTGTTTCTACTCTCTCTGTTTTGTGACAGCCACCAGGAACACGCCAGCAAGTACCCCACACTCTGGCTTTTAGACTCCACTTTGACCTGGTGTTTTAGTCACTTTCCATCTCTGTGACAAAATGTCTCAGAAAGCAACTTAAAAAAAGCCAAGCTTTGCTTTAGTGTCTCAGTGCATGGTTGGTGGCTCCTTTGTTGTGTGCCTGAGTAGGGCTGGAACATTATCGTGGAAGTGCCTGGTGGAGAACGGAGAACAGCTACTCCCAGCAGCAGTGAGAGACAGCAGAGGAGCTGGGGACAAGATACAGTGTTAAAGGGCATGTCACCGCGACCTGACTCTTCCAAATGACTCCACCTCCTAGTTTCTGCTGCTTCCCAACAATTCCATTAGATTATGAAGCGATCAGTGGATTAATCTTGGGGAGGTCAGAGCCTTCAAGATCGCATCACTTCCCCAACGCTCACTGACTTGGCCCTGCCATTGGCCTTCGGGGTCATACCAGATTTAAGACATTACGGTTTAGAAACAGAGAGAAAGGGCCTTCCCAGAGAGTGAATGTTTAGAGAGAAAAAGGCCAACCAGCAGTGCCAAGGGCCAAGGCTGAGCTTGCTCCTGTAGCCTTAGCCAGTGTCTTGGTGATACTGCTCCTTCCTGCCTGTTTTCATCCCCACCCCCACGTGTGTGTGTGTGTGGTATCTGTGCCTGTGTCTGTGTCTCTGTGTGTGGTGAGGTATTTAGTCCCAGGCTGAGTGGCTCTTTCAAAGGACTTCTCAGTTGGTTCCTTCAGCCATGACCGACTTTAGAGAGTCGTTCACTCTACAGGACAGCACACACACACGACAGATTCATATCACAGGTTATCATATGTCTGAAATGTCCAGCAAACACACGTTCATAAAGAAAAGGAGTCTGCCAGCAGCTGTCGTTGTCTGGCGTTGGGACAGAACAGAGGCTGGCTGCACACCAGCTCAGGAACTTTGGAAGGGTGATGGATGTTTCATTCTAGAAATATAGTAGTAGTTACTGAATTTTATTAATTTAGTAAAAATTAATTGACTAGGATGTAATGCAATTTATAAAATTTTGTAATATAAATTATTATGAGTTATAACCAAAATAAGGTATAAAGTACCATTAGCGTTAAACTTTTTTAGTGGGGATTTGTGTTCTGGGCAGGTTTGGCCTTGAACTTTTTTTCTTCCCCAAGATAAGGTTTCTCTGTGTAGGCCTGGCTGTTCTGGATCTCACTCTGTAGACAAGGCTGGCCTCAGACTTACAGAGATCCACCTGCCACTGAGTTCTGGGATTAAAGTTCTACAGCACCACTGCCCAGTGGCCTTGTCCTCTTGATGCTCCTGCCTCAGTCCCCTAAACACAGAGACTACAAGGGTGTGACACCGCACCCATCCCTCTTTGCAAACGTCGAACAATCAACCGGACTAAGTTCATGGGAAAAGCTATAAAGGAATCTAGAAGTATGCATGTGGGTATCTGATTTTTACTAATTGAATAATTTAAATTCAAAAACTATTTTAAAGGAGCATGTAGAATGACTTTCTATTTGCCATTAAGTCCCATTTTTTGTTGTTCAGGTATGCTGGGGGCATGGAGATAACAGGAACAGGTTATGGTGTCTCTGCCCCTCGAGACAACTTGGGGCTCACCCTTGGGGTGAGCATCTATGCCTTAAGGTGCTCACCCTGGGGGCCAGGGGTTGCACCTGTGATAGCTCAACAAATTTAGTTGGGATGTTTGAGGCCAGCCAGCCACGGAGCCTCTGTAAATCAGATTAATGTCCGGCCTTGCATTTTATATCTAAAAGTTTTGGCATCCAGTTTTGTCAGACCCCACTTCAAGAACCAAAGAAAGGCTGGGGTAATGTCCCCCTGTACAAGGCTTTCGGTGGGAACTGACTCTGCCATTCAAACAGGGCTGTGGGCAGCGGCGGGGCAGCAAGACTGGCTGGCCTGGCCCTCGAGTGTGAGTGGCTTCTGTCTTTAGAGTTCAATGACAACATTGTGCATTGGAACAAGGGAAGCCTGTCTCAGACCCTTGACCTGGAGGGGCCTGCAACCCTCCAGCTGGCTAAACCTGAAGCCAAGCAGACGAGAAGGCCCGACCCTTAAATTCTGAGACACTGGCTCTTTGAGGCCCTGGGGGCTCCTATTAAAGGAGTAAACGACTTGGCTCAGGATCTGGGCTATGGGTTTGTTTGCTTGTGTGCTTGCCACTCTGTCCCTAGCCGCCTTGTTTAATGCATCTACTCCTTGTCCCCTCACCTGGTTGCCGGGAAACACTCTTTCCCCGCTCCAGTGAGCAGATACACCCAGCAGCTGCGACACCAACTGGGCCGGGACTCCAAGTTCATGATGTGCTACGCCCAAAAGGAGGACCTGCTGCTTGAGGAGACTTACATGGACACACTCATGGAGCTAGTAGACTTCAACAACCAAAACCTAGGCAGCCTGGGAGGCCTGGACTGCCTGATGGATCACAGCACTGGTATCCTCAACGAGCATGGCGAGACTGTCTTCGTGTTTGGGGACGCGGGAGTGGGCAAGTCCATGCTGCTGCAGCGGCTGCAGAGCCTCTGGGCGTCCGGCAGGCTGACCTCGGCAGCCAAGTTCTTCTTCCATTTCCGCTGCCGCATGTTTAGCTGCTTCAAGGAGAGCGACACGTTGTGTCTGCAGGACCTGCTCTTCAAACACTTCTGCTACCCAGAGCAGGACCCCGAAGAGGTGTTCTCCTTCTTGCTGCGCTTTCCCCACACGGCGCTCTTTACTTTTGATGGCCTGGATGAGCTGCATTCGGACTTCGACCTGAGCCGCGTGCCGGACAGCTGCTGCCCCTGGGAGCCAGCGCACCCACTGGTCCTATTGGCCAACCTCCTAAGCGGGAGGCTGCTCAAGGGTGCCGGCAAGCTGCTCACTGCCCGCACAGGCGTCGAGGTCCCCCGCCAGCTTCTGCGCAAAAAGGTGCTGCTCCGAGGTTTCTCCCCCGGCCACCTGCGCGCCTATGCCCGCAGGATGTTCCCTGAGCGCATGGCTCATGAGCATCTGCTGCAGCAACTGGATGCCAACCCCAACCTCTGTAGTCTGTGCGCTGTGCCGCTCTTCTGCTGGATCATCTTCCGCTGCTTCCAGCATTTCCACACGGCCTTTGAGGGTTCCTCGCAGCTGCCGGACTGTGCCGTGACCCTGACTGATGTCTTCCTGCTGGTCACTGAGGTGCATCTGAACAGGACACAGCCCAGCAGCCTGATGCAGCGCAATACGCGCAGCCCGGCAGAGACACTGCGTGCAGGCTGGCGCACGCTGCACGCGCTCGGCCAGGTGGCGCACCGAGGCACCGACAGGAGCCTGTTTGTGTTCAGTCAGGAGGAGGTGCAGGCATCAAAGCTGCAGGAGGGGGATCTGCAGCTGGGCTTCCTGAGGCCTCTGCCAGACGTGGGCCCTGAGCAGGGCCAGCAGTCCTATGAGTTTTTCCATCTCACGCTCCAGGCCTTCTTCACTGCCTTCTTCCTGGTGGCAGATGACAAAGTGGGCACCCGGGAGTTGTTGAGGTACTTTCGAGAGTGGACGTCTCCCGGGGCGACACCAAGCACGTCCTGCTATCCTTCCTTCTTCTCCTTCAGGTGCCTGGGTGGCGGCAGCCGGTTGGGCCCTGATCCTTTCAGGAACAAAGACCACTTCCAGTTCACCAACCTCTTTCTGTGTGGGCTGCTGGCCAAGGCCAGACAGAAACTCCTTCGGCAGCTGGTGCCCAAGGCTATCCTGAGGAGGAAGCGCAAAGTCCTGTGGGCTCACCTGTTTGCCAGCCTGCGCTCCTACCTGAAGGGTTTGCCCCGGGTCCAGAGTGGAGGCTTTAATCAGGTGCACGCCATGCCCACATTCCTGTGGATGCTGCGCTGCATCTACGAGACACAGAGCCAGAAGGTGGGGCGCCTAGCCGCCAGGGGCATCAGTGCCGACTATCTCAGGTTGGCCTTCTGCAATGCTTGCTCTGCTGACTGCAGTGCCCTGTCCTTCGTCCTGCACCACTTCCACAGGCAGCTGGCCCTCGATCTGGACAACAACAACCTCAATGACTATGGCGTGCAGGAGCTGCAGCCTTGCTTCAGCCGCCTTACCGTGCTCAGGTGAGGCTGCCAGCTGAGATGGGTGAGGAGAACAGAGAGGCTCTCTTTTGTTTTACCTGGCGGCTACATCCCGACCCAATATGGCTGCCCAAAGATAGCGCCGGCCAACTACTTAGTATTGTAGCCAGAAGAAATCCCTAGAAGGACAGGTCCCATTTTTAATTTTTTTTCCCTTTAGTATTAGGGTTTGAACTGCAGGCATCACACATGCCACACAAGAACACGCCTAACTGTCTTAAAAAGCCATTGCCAGTGATAGAACTTCTTAGATTTCTTTAGGCAGGACTTAATTGTATGTGCCAAGCTGGAAAAGAGGAGGGGAGCACAAGGGATTGTATTGCTAAGAACACACAGATACTGGAAGGACCTGCCGTGTCTGGATTGAATGACAGAATGAATTTAAAGGTAGGATGTGACTGCTCCCAGGTATGGTAGAGAAGAAGGTTTGTTGTAGATATGAGGGAAAGCATAGACAGAGGCAGAGACATTTGGGAGAGTCCAGAGTGGACTTAACCAGCAGATCCAGCCAGGTCTTGTGAGAAGCAGGGTGGGGAAAGGCAGGAGACCAGGCTAAAAGGGCAAAAAATATTAAAAAAAAAAAAAGGGACCAGTGTAGCAAAATGGCCAAATTATATAGGGAAGAACAGTTGGGGGAGTGGTGTAACCTAACCCCCTAAACTAGAGAATTTAGGGGATGGGGAGGGTATGTCAGCCAGGAGGATCCTATAACAGGTAGAGACTGAAGGATGCTGGGAGAACTGGGCAGCCAGGGTCCTCTTTGATATGTTACTAGGGCATCACAGCCATTGGTCCTGGGTTTGAGACCTAAGAGGGATGGCTCTGCAGTGTATACCTTGTGCTCGCATCTAGTCTGATACTGTAGGGGACAGGTTCCGAGAAGCTGCCCTTATCTTTTTGATGTGGCTTTTCTGTTCTCTCTTTAATTGTCGTGGATGTCAGCTTTGGGGTCAAACTTAGCCCGTGGCTTGTGCTTTTAAATAAAGTTTTATTGATGCGCAGCCACACATGTCATTTGCTTCTGGGTTGTTTCGCCCTGTATGTAGGATTGAGCAGTTGTTTGGCCCAGCAGCACAGTCTTCAGCATTTTCCAGCTAGTCTTGGTGTAGAAAGTCTGCTGCCCCGCCCCAGTCCAGTCGCCTCCCGGGGTTCCTGCTCTCATCTTGCTTCTCAGTTTCTTTCTTGAAGGTCAGGGTAGCTTGTTACAGAGATTGCTTGGATGAGTAGGGATGGAAAGAGAAAGAAAAGGGGGAAAGTGGGAAGGGGGAGAAAAGGCTATTGGGAGCTCAGTGGTACCCTTGCTTTGCATGCTGCAAGTCCTGGGTTCTACCCCTGAATCTTTGTATGTATTATTTACCTAATAAATACATACACACATGCACATTTTGCTCATGAGAAGCTATACTGCTGGGTTTAGAAAATTTTCTAGAGAATTTGCAGTCTGTGACTGGCCCTTGACCTACAGGGAAGCAGTCCCAGAGATCCCATTTTCCTCTTCTATTTGTCTGTTCCCAGCCTGGCCTGCACAGGCAGCATTTGCACTGGGAGAGGATGGAGAGGGTTGCTGCTGCCAAGTCCCGCCCTTGCCCAGAAAGCAGCCAGTTCCTCCTGAGACTTCCAACCCAGAGCTGCTTTAAAAGAGCTGTTTCCCTGGGCAGCAGGATGCAGGCCTCTTCCCGCATCTGAGGTGTGTCAGTTCTAGTGGGGACTATCCTGCCCTGTATTTTGTAAGTTAGCTCATGTCCTTACTCCACTCCTAAAATGCGAAGGTACCCCCAGTGGTAGTGATCCCTAAAGGCGGTCCCTCACGTTTCAGACCTCATGACCCGCCCCCACTGTGCTCAGAGGATGGAGAAGTCACACCCAAACGCCGCTGATGTTGGAGACAGCTGGAAGTAGCTGGCTGCGGATACCCTTATTAGCCTCTGTGACCCTTTGGCTTCAGGGCTGGGATGCAGCCTTGTTGCTGGCCATGGACCCTAGGCAGCTGGATTCTTAAGCTGAGCACTTCCTTGGAAGTTCCTGCTCTGACTGGCAGTTGTCTTCACTGATGTGTTTTAGACTCAGTGTCAACCAGATCACGGACACAGGCGTGAAGGTGTTGTGTGAGGAACTGACCAAGTACAAGATCGTGACATTCCTGGGGTAAGTCTTGCTGGAGGATATTGGGCCTGCTACCTTGTCATAGTTCTTAGCATCAGAAAATTGGCAGACATGTGGTCCACTGGTGACAGAAACCATGGCCAGTGCTGGCATCCTCTGGCCTCAGCCTCCCACATGCTGGGGTTACAGGCATGTACGTGGCTCCGGGTTCTGTTCTGGGCTCAACTGGTAGGCTCAGTTCTAGGTGGAATTGGAGCTAATCAAAATGCTTATGGAGCCCCCAGCTTCCTTACTTGTAAAACTGGGACCCAATCCAGGCAAGCTATTTTGGAGGCTACGAAGAGGAAGTATGTGGGGATAGGTTTTGTAGACATTAAAATACCTGTCTATACATCAGACTTTACTACTTTGGATCTACTCCTAGGTCCAGGGCAGAACCATATATATTGAATAGCAGTGGTACAGCCAAAGGGGTCCTAGGTAGAACCCTCCTTGAATACTTCAATAGTGCTGCAGAAAAATAAACGAATACTCAAACCAGGTAGTGTTAAGTAAAGGCCACCCATAGACCCAAGTCAGTTGTTAAATACGTTACACGGGGCTTTGAGTTTGGGGTTTGAGATGAGGGCACGTGGCCCCATGGCTGCTGCTGCTCTTGTCCCTGGAGCAGTTGCTGAATATTCCTGGACCACTGGATCATGAGGACACATAAACAAAAGGTCCCATGCTCCCCTCTGTTATGCGTGACGAGTGATAGTGGAGAGAAGACTTAATCAGAATGATTTAAAGAAAAGGACATAGGACTTTACTCTTCAGAAAACCTAAATCACCACTAGCTGCATTATTGAGCATTGTGTGCTGGGCTGCGCATGACGGCATATGCTCCCTGTCACCACGGGGCGGAGAGGTGTATGGATTCGGCATAGAGGGGAAGTAAGAGAGCTGGCTTTGGAGCCAGGCTGATGCAGAGCCCAAACTCTGGTCTATGGGTGTTCCCCCTTTCAACTTAGACAGTGGAAATCAGTAGGCAGAGCGTACTCGCTATAGGAGGAGGAGTTTGTGTGACACCGGGACTTACAGAGGCCCCTGGCTGTGCTTTCTCTCCAAGTTTATACAACAACCAGATCACTGATATCGGAGCCAGGTATGTGGCCCAAATCCTGGACGAATGCAGAGGCCTCACGCACCTTAAGTAAGTAAGTGGGGAAGGGCTGGGGACTCCTTAGAGGTTTGTTTTCTTTCTTTTTTTTTTTTTTTTGTTTTTTCGAGACAGGATTTCTCTGTGGCTTTGGAGCCTGTCCTGGAACTAGCTCTGTAGACCAGGCTGGTCTCGAACTCACAGAGATCCGCCTGCCTCTGCCTCTCAAGTGCTGGGATTAAAGGTGTGTGCCCCCACCGCCTGGCAAGGTTTGTTTTCTTTACCAATACCTGGGTCACCTCTTCCGTTCCAGTGTCATCATAAAGAGGTCTCGCCCTAAAGCCCCTGCCAGCCCCATGGCCATACTAGTCCAGCTGGCCAGATGTGCTCATCTTGTGGAGGAAACATGACCCAGTGTGGGGTTTGGCTGTTGGCGGCAGTGGAGAGTTAGCTCTTTAATCTCCCTAGCTACTGGCTGGAAGGAAGGGTTGTATCTATTGCCCTTTTGGGGATACCAGGCAAAGATCCTCTTCTCCTGGGGAGCTTGATCCTTGGCATTGTCATAGATGTGCCCCTTCAGGCTGACAATCTTCCAGCCCTCTTCGTAATGGAAACACTTACTTTGACCATTGTCAATAAATGTGGGCATTCTCAAGCCTACTAAAGAGAGTGGTAGTTCTGGGGTCATTCTGAGAATCCCAGGCAAGGCTCCAATGGTTGACTATCAGCAGAGATCGTGGGCCACCTCATAGGGTGAACCCAGGCTGTGGGTCCCTCCCTGAGAGGAGGCCACAGGCATGGATATATGTGTGAACAAGATCACACTGGCAAAAAAGCGTAGGCGGGCTCAGTGTCGGGAAGAAGGGTGGCCTACTGTGGAGTCCCTATACAGAGGCTAACCATGCATGTCTCTTCCTGCAGACTGGGAAAAAACAGAATAACAAGTGAGGGTGGGAAGTGTGTGGCTCTGGCTGTGAAGAACAGCACCTCCATCATTGATGTTGGGTAAGTAGAAGGGACACCCTATCACACACACACACACACACACACACACACACACACACACGGTGTATACAGCCTGCTGTCTGCGCGGGCACTAGCTGCTCTTCTGGACATCAGTGTGCCACAAGGACCCTGGGGCTGGCAGCACGGACACCCTGATGCCTTCTGCATGAAAAATGGGTGGGAAGTGTGACAACAGGGACTTCACACACTTTTACTTATTTAGAAATCAGCATCATTGTGATTGGGACACGGGAGCCTGGCTCTCTGTGTTCACTGCTGCCAGACATTGGTCCTGTTTTTAAGAATTTACTATTCTCTGGTTAGCTTGGTTTTTTTTTTTTAATGTTAAAAATTGTGGTAAAATTCACGTGATATAAACTCAACCACCTTTCCCTTGTTTAATTATGTAATTCAGTGGTGTTAAGTACATTTATGTAAGGCAGCCATAATACCATCTTTCTCCAAGGAGCTTCTTGGCTCTGGCTGTCCATTCCTAGGCATCCAGATCCAAAGAAGACATCACAGAGGTTTGTTGTTGTTTTGGTGATGGCTTATTTTACTTGCACGACACCCCCAAGGGTCATTCCTGTTGTCAGATGTGAGAGTTCCCTTCCTTTCAGGCTGACCGTCCTCAGGATATCTGCATTTCAGTTTGCTCATTGGTTTCTCTGTCACTGGATACCTGGGTTGTGGACACTGCTGATGGCCTTGGGTACACAGACATCCCTGCTAGATCCTGCTCGTACTTTCTGTGCTTAAACGCCTTACTGGGTTGCAGTAGAATGTTGACTCAGTTTCTGACTTCTTGGTTCATTATGATTTTTAATCTAAACTTTTATGGATATTGGTCGTTTGCCTGAATGTATGTTTGTGCTCCACATACGTGCCTAGTGTCACTGAGGACAAAGCGGGCATTTGATCCCCAGGAACTAATTTTATAGATAATTGTGAGCTGCCATATGGGTGCTGGGAATCAAACCCAGGTCCTCTTATTCTCAGAACCAGCTCTCTATTCCTTCTGTCTGATTTCTTGGAGGCCTCACGTGGTGTTCCTTAGAGCAGTGCTTCATTTTGCACTCCCGCCGGCAGTGCATGTGGGTCCCATTTGCTCCACCTCTTTGCCAGCACTTTTTCCCCCTGTTTTGTCAACAGCAGCCATCCTAAAGGTAGGAGGGGTATCTCATGGTGGTTAAAAAAAACTCCTTGTGGTATTGTAATTTTTCCTGGATTATAAAAAAGAACATTGGTGGTTTTCTTGAGAAACTATGGGGAATATGAACAAAAACAAAAATTGTCTTCCTAGAATTGCTTTTAAGCTGGATATAATAGTACATGCCTGTAATCTCAGAATTTGGAGGGTGAAGGCAAGAGGATCACAAGTTCAAGACCAGTCTCAGCTATATATCAAGTTCAAGGCCAGCCTGGGCTATTTAAAATAAGAGAATCGCCACTGACATTTGAGAGCATGGGAACGCTTTTCAGTTCCCTCTCTCCCCCATTACTCCTTTTACAGAGCAGAAACCAACCCACGTGGACCGAATTCTGTCTTCATTTTTCACAGTCTCATCTCATAGTCTGACACTTTCTTACAAAATTGATGCTACTCAATTGGTATTGTGCATGTATTTTCTCCGCAAAGTACTGGAAACCGGGGTCTCATAGGCCATGCCTGAAAGCAGCCTTCTGGGTCTTACTGCAGAGGTCAGACCCTGTTGTGCGTGGGCTGGGCACATTATTCTGTTCCCTGGAGACAGAGGCCAGTGCTCGCGTCTGTGAAAGCACAGAATCTTCACTGCTCTGCGAAGAATGACCTCATTATTTCATTTGACAGAGAAGGAAACTGAGGCCTAAGACATGTTAATGTTTATGTAGGGTTGCACAGCTGTTTTAAGTTAGTTGTGATAAAGACCATGGGCCCAAATCAGCTTGGGGTGGGAAGGGTTTGTTTGGCTTACATTTTCCCATCGCAGTCTATCGCTGAGGGAAGTCAGGGCAGGAACTCAAGCAGGAACCTAGAGGCAGGAACTGAAGCAGAAACCACAGGGGAATGCAACTTACTGGCTTGCTTCCCAGGCTCACTCAGCCTGCCTTCTTAGACACCCCAAGATCTCCACAATGGGTTGGGCCCTCCCACATCAATCAAGATGAGAGCATTTTTTTCCACTGAGGTTTCTCTTCCTAGTGGCAGAGCCTGAGGTGAGGGTCTCAACATGCAGAATGTGTTGGATGATCCTCTGAGAAGTCTTTCTGGAAAGGGAAGTCAGCTTCATTCATTGTTCTAACGCGCCACCGAGACTCGAGTGTCATGCAGGGCCTGGCTGGCAGCATTCTTACCACATACAAGGAAGGTTGCTAGATGGTTTTAGCCACAGTTCCAGGCCTTAGCTTCCTGGGAGGCCAAAATCATCAATGGCCCCTTTGTTTGCCCACTGTTGACCCAGGGTGGGAGGCTAGCCCTTCTTTCAGGCCAGGGTAGCCTGGGAGTTACTTTCCAGGGCAGTTTTTGGCGGAGGGTCTCAGTGAAGAGCGTTTGCAAAGTTCAGAAAGGCTGGTCTCAAACCGCACCACCTGCCGATCTGCCTATCTGTGTTCGAGGTTGCTACTGCTTTCAGGCCTCTCTGTAACTGGGAGCCCAGGGCAGGCTGCTTGTGCAGCTGCAGGCTGGGGCCAAGGTCACCCCTCTGGCAGTTGCCTGCTGAAAGTGAATCCAGAGGGGCAGCTGACGTCAGATGGAGATGTGACTGTGTAACAGTCCATTGCTTGCCTCTGCTTTCAGGATGTGGGGCAATCAGATTGGGGATGAAGGGGCAAAGGCCTTCGCAGAAGCATTGAGGGACCATCCCAGCCTGACCAACCTCAGGTAACATGCTTTCTGAGAGGTGGACTCCTGGGGCCCGTGGGGGGGGGCTGCTGGGAGGGGGTGGCTGGCTTTACTACTGGGGCAAATTTGATTGGCACATGACTTCTTTTGATCAAGTTTTTCTCTGTGGGTGTGAGGCATGCAGTGAGGTGCTGTGCTCAGTGAACAACAGGGAGACTTGGGACACCTGCCGTCCCTCAGCCATCTTGAGGCACACCCTTGGAGGAGGAGGCTGGGAGCAGTTTTAAAGCTCAGACAAAACCAGAGGGACCCTAGCCCCTTTGCCGCCCTTTCCTTTTTCTAAGATAATGGACAGCCTTCCGTTAGCACCGTGGCCTGATTCCAGCACCTTGGAATCTTGGAGTATTGTAGGCTCTACCGTGGAAAGGGGGTTCAGGACTTTCCAAGGTCTTTTCATGGGCCTCTGAAATTCTCCGGTGATCTGAGTTGCCCCATGAATGCCCTATGCACAAGCCTGGCACAGTCCACTTTGGGAGCACCAGGATTCCTTGGCCTTCAGCTCATATGCGAACCCCTGAGTTCTGCCTTTGTTTTCCACCTGGTCTTTTCAGAAACAGTCATAAGCCTGACTTCACACTCTTAGGCTGCAAAGCCCAGGCTACTGTGGGCCAAGCGCTCTGCTTCCTGCCTGCGTCTGTGTCTAGATAAGAACTTTCCAGATGTCTGAATGTTGCAGGCAAGGCCCCCTGTGGATGTGTCTGTTTTAACCCAACCCCTGTGTTTTTCTTTCTAGTCTTGCATCCAATGACATCTCCCCTGAAGGAGGGAAGACCCTTGCACAGGCCCTGAAGCACAACACCACTCTAAAAATATTCTGGTAACATCTTGAGTCATTTCCAAGGGTTGGGTTTGGTTGTTATTCCCAAAGTTATGGAATCTAAACTGAAAAGCACGTCTCCATTATAAAGGAGAATTAAATTTTCCCAAGCCATTTCCCAAAAACCAGGACTAATACACAGACGAAGTGAACTTTGTCACCCTCAGCTTCTGTGAAGGTGCCAGAAATCCCTTCGAAATGCTCTCACCCAGGCCTGGCTTTCATGGACCTTGTCCAAAATACCCACGTCCCCCACTTGCATGGCCATTCACCCATGCAGCTGCCTCTTACCATGTGCACACATTATGATTTGGCTTCTGTGCCCCGCCTGTTACTAGCTGTGGCTGTGGCTGCCCAGTGCATTGGATGGGCTACTGAAGCATCCCTGGCCTCTATCTGTTAGATAGAGCACCTCAAATTGTGAAGGCCAAAAGGTCTCCCTCCAGGCACTGTTAAGTGTCCATGGACAGCTAAACCACCCTGGTTGAGAGCCACTGCTCTCCATGGACAAGAATGCAAAATTTTTAGCGCAAGCCATAGGTCCTTCTGCACCTTTCACACGTGCGGATTCATCCCACAGCAAGTTGGTCTCCTGGGCACCCTAGCACGGCCTCCTTATTTATTCTCTCTTATTGTCTCAAGGCACAATGCACCTTTGAATGGATGCTTCCTATTCCATCAGTTTCTTCTGTTGGCAGGTACCTAGAATAGTCCATATTTTGCATCATGAGCACAATACCCCTGTGTGTGTGGCAAGGCCTAAACCTTTGTTACACATCTTTTTCCTTTTCAGCACTGAGGTTCAAGCTCAGGGCTTTGGGTAGGTTGGCCAAGAGCTCTGACACTGTGCTGTATTCACAGCCTTTCAATTATTTTTTTTTTAATTTCAAAATAGAGTCTTATTAAGTTACCCGGGCTGGCCATAAACTCACAAGTCCCCTGTCTGTGCCTCTGAGAAGTTGGGATTACAGATATCAGATGCCACTTTTTTCTTTTTTTTGCTTTGATGAACATCTTGCAATATCAGGGTGAATTTCGAGTCTGATGACTTTCATCAAGTGCAATATATTTAAGTTTGGGATAGATGTGATTGAAGAATGATCTTTTAAACAGTGCCAGTTCTACTGCTGTCTTCTTTCACCCATCAGAACAGGAAGGTCCTCTGCTGTTGACATCTGGGAGCATCAGTGCTTTGTCCCATTAGCTGCTGGGCGCAGAGCAATCGAGAGGCTTCCTGAGTTTGTCACAGGGTCTTTGTCCTTCACAGTAGCTTCAGAGAACAGCTGAGCTTGGTTCACCATGCAGGGTTTTCCCAGGTCTCCATGGTGACCTGGGCATTGGGCTGCCAGTGGCATTCAGCGGTTTAGGGGCTGGAGGCTGACCTGGAGGCTGACCTGGAGGCTGACCTGCAGGCACTGGCTCCTTGTAATGTGGGTCCTTCACTTCCATAAAATCCAAGTCTAGGTGAGGAGCCACACTGCAGGAAGGTGGGCAGGAAACAGCTCAGGGAAGGACTGACTGGAAGCGAGTGCCGTTATATGAGTTTACCTGCCTGCCATGATGCAGGATTTCAGGGTAGACTGGGAGCCTGGCCCTCAGCATGTGATGCAGGTCTTGGGGGAAGGCCCTGAACGGCCTCTGTGAACTCATAAACAACATCTGTCTATCAGCACTCCTGACTCAACATTTCCTCTCTTCTAGGCTGACGCAAAATGAACTTAATGACGAGGCAGCAGAGTGCTTTGCTGAGATGCTGAAAGTCAACCGGACACTGAAGCACTTATGGTAACTCATGGGGCTGGGGCCTGGACTCTGCTTCCCTGCACAGTCTTTGTGATGAAATCTACATATCACAGCATCCCGCCCTCGATAGATGGTTTTTGTTTTGTTTTGTTTTCTTCTGTTGTTATTTTTTTTTTCCTGGGTGGTGTTGGTGCACGACTTTAATCCCAGCACTTGGGAGGGGCAGAGGCAAGTGGATCTCTGTGAGTTCCAGCCCACCCTGATCTACAGAGTGAGTTTCAGGACAGCCAGAGCTACACAGAGAAACCCTGTCTCAAAAAAACCAAAAAAGAAAGTTTAGAGGTTTCTCGTATCACAAAGTTGTACTGCTGTTTCTGTGTAGGTCCAGACCGTGTTCACTGTCCTCCCCCAAGCCCTGTTCTGCCATCTCTGTGCCCTGGTGACAGATTTCTGACTTTTGTCTCAGTTGTGGGCATTTCATAGAAGTGGAGCCATTGCGCCTGACCCTTCATCTGTGCTCATTAGCACAGCTCCCAAGGTTAGCCCACGCACGGCAGGCGTGCAGGGGATGGAGATGCATTTGCTCATCACCAGTTGATAGATGTTGGACCATTTCTTCTTCCTAACTATTCTAATGCTTCTCTAAGAGTTCACACACATATTTTTGCAAGGGCGCATTTCCATCTTGCTTCTGTACATACGTAAGCACCGACTTGCTGATAGCTTAGCGAGCAAGCTTGTTTGACTTTCTGAGGGAACTCCACACAGCTTTCCACAACGGAGGCCAGCACTGTGAGGATCACTTTCTCCCCATTCCCATCAAAACTTGCTTCTCCTTTTTTTTTTTCGCAATGGATTTGTTTGCTTTGTTTGCTTTCTTTTTTAAATGTGATTTATTTTTAATTTCATACCTATATAAAATGTTCTTTGAGCAAAGTGCCAATTGATCCTCTCTTGTTCTTCTCCTTCACAGAGAATTTCTTCTTCCTCCTCTTCTTCCTAAGTCTTCCTCCTTTTGTGTTGTATGCGTGTGTGCACAGGTGTGTGTGTGTGTGTGTGTGTGTGTGTGTGTGTGTGTCCCGCTGTGTTTCATTATGGTTGCTGGCAAGAGCATGAGTGGAGGGTTACTTACTAGAGCTGGGCACTACTGACCACATCACTGAAGAATATGACACCCTCCCCCCCACCCCCCCGTTCTCCTGCCCATAGCTTCTGTGGGAGGAATAGATCCCATCAGCCCCTTTCCCAGCCACGATGGAATGTTGCTGGCCCTGTCTTGTGCAGACTGCCATGTCTTCTGCGAGTTCATGGGTGCGACAGCCATGTCACGTCCAGAAAACAATCCCCTCTCTGCCTTCCAGCTCCCTCAGCATTGGAGGGACGGTATGTACATCCCGCTGCACTCAGCCGCCACCGACCAGTTATAAACTCTACACTAAGAGTCACCTGCCACGACAGTATTGTCTCTCACCAAGGCCGAGCGCAGCATTTTCCATGGGTACAAACATAAATATTGAGAGGCTAGTTTGACACCGTGTCCCGAGGATCTGTTGCCTCTCTTGGAGTATAGCCGTATAGTGAGTATGAACGCACACTGTGCTTTCGATCGTCCTCACGAGCCAACAGTGTTGAACATCTTCTCACACACCTCTCTCTTCCTGGGCACCTATCACTGACGAATATCTCCACACCTTTAGCTCGTTTAAAAACCCAGTCATTCGTCTGCTTGTGGCTGAGCTGTAAGAACGCCTCATTCTGTGTGCTAGACATTTTGTACATAGGTTTGCAGGCATCATCTCCTTCCTCTGGGCTTTTCAGTCCCTGATAGTGATCTCGGAGGCACAGCCATTTCTGGTTTTGATGAAGTCCAATTTGCCCACCTCTTCTGTAGCTGTTTATGTTTGAGGAATTTTACTTGATGGAATATTGCCTAACCCAAGGTCACAAAGATTTATATATAAGTTTTTCTCTTAAATTAGGTGAACAGTTGTGGACATATTGAGGTGTGTGTGTGTGTGTGTGTGTGTGTGTGTGTGCGCGCGCGCGCGCGCGCGTGCGTAGAGATCAGAGGTCAAAGTCTAGTGTCTTTCTTGATTCTTCTTCATTTTATTTTTTAAGACAAAACATTCCATAGAACCTAGTGCTCACTGATTTGACTGTACCAGGACCCACAAGCCCCAGTGATCCTCTTTTTATACGAGAGCCAGAAATCTAGACGCGGGTCCTTATGCTCGAGCATCAACACCTGACCTGCCGTCTCCCTGGTCCCCCATTTTGAGTTAACTTTAGAATGTGGTATAAGGTAGAAGTCTTCATCCTCTCCACATAGACGTCCGTTCTGAGGGAGCATCAGCTGAGCAGCTCAGACCATCAGTGCATGCTTGTCCAACAGTTGATTACACATCCAGGAAGAGTCTAGCTTGTCACGTTATGTGTCGGTTCTTATATCAGAATCTCATTGTGTGGACCAGTCTTGTCTCAAACTCAGGATCCTCTTGTGTCAGCCTCCTAAGTGTTGAGGTCACAGGCATGCACCACCATGTCTGGCCTCACCGTCCTTCTGTAATCAGTTTTGTTCTCTCTCCAGACAGTTCTAGCTATTCTGAGTCCCTTACATTTGAATTTTTGGGAAAAGCCAGGTTTTTTCCTTTCTTTCTTTTCTCTTCAATTTTCAGATTTCCCCTGTTCCCATCTCTGGGTGCTGGACCCTCCAGGTTGCAGAGCCCGGGAGGCTCAGAGAGGGGGTGCACAGCCATGCTGCTCTCATTGGAGATGGGGCGGTGGTAGCCAAATGTGCCCAGCTCTGCCAGCTTCCTCTGGTACACTATGTATGAGTTTCGATTTATCACAATCACTATGTAAAATGCAAACATTAAGGAGTTTCAATGCTATTCATTGTTCTTGTGTGTCTGAGGCCCTGTAGTTCAATGAGGAATTATGGGGATCCTGTTACCCCCTAACCCTGACCTCATAGAATACAGATTGGACCCAGTCTTCTGTGTTGACACAGGTGTACTCTCCTTTCAGGCTTATTCAAAATCACATCACAGCCACGGGGACAGCCCAGCTGGCTGAGGCACTGCAGAAGAACACCACCATAACAGAGATTTGGTAAGACCATGCTCTTGTCACAACACCCGATTTCATGGTCTCTGAGTGAGTGCCACTGATCACTTCATGGGATCCTGAAGTGATCCCACTTCCTCCTTGACTGTGAGGATGATGTGGGGAGGGGCAGCAGTTCCACGACTGGAGGGGCCCCAGCTCTTTAAAGCTCTTGTTTGCCTGATGCAGTGGCCCTGAGTATTCGCGATTGCTTTGGAAATGTGTCCTGGAAGCCAGGCCTGGAGTATTACTCTCCCAGTGTGATCCAGGGAAGCTGGCAGCAGCAGAACCAACTCTTGATGAGAACACAGAGGCAACTGTGGATTCCCTGAGGTTTACGGAGCAGCCTCACTAGGAGCCCAAGCCCTAAGTTCAGGGGGTGGATCCCCTTAACCACTTTTTCCCGTGTGAGTGGGGAGAGAAATTCAAGCCCCAAGACCTCTTGAGATATAGTCCTCCCCAGTTATTTGCTGCTGAAAGGTGTTATTAGCTTTGCCTTGGAAATGTCGCTGCTTCACACACTAGCCCAAGGGCTGCAGCCAGCATTATTTTGAAATGAAACCCGTACCTGGAGGTTTCTCTCTCATGTACTAGTTCCTGAATAACCACTCTGAGGCTTAATGTTAATTACAAACTGTCTGGTCTATTAGCTCAAGCTTATTATTAACTATCTCTTACAACTTAAATTAACCCATTTCTATTATCCTATATCTTCCCATGAGGCTCGTGGCTTGTTACTTCACCTCTTGTTTCCCTGAAGGCTGCTGGCATCTCCCTGACTCCACCCTTTTGCTCCCTGTATCTGTTTGGGTTTCCTGCTTAGCTCTATTCTGCCTGGCTATTGGCCAAATTAGCATCTTTATTAACCAAAGATATTCACAGCAAACAGAAGGGCATCCCACATCAGAAACCAAGGGCAACGAGGTACCAGCAGCATCTGAGCTGTCTCAGCCACCTTGCCTGAGGAGTGCATGTAGACAAATCTGTTTAAATGCTGGTTCTAGACTGTTGCCTCTGAGGTAATTCTACATCCTTTCGTGTTGACCATCATGGAGAATGTGGCTCTTACTCATGGTCATACAGAAAAGCGTTTATGAAAAAGACTGTCACAGGGCTGGAGAGATGGCTCAGAGGTTAAGAGCACTGACTGTTCTTCCAGAGGTCCTGAGTTCAATTCCCAGCAACCACATGGTGGCTCACAACCATCTGTAATGATACCTGGTGCCCCCTTCTGGCCTGCAGGTGTACATGCAGGCAGAATGCTGTATACATAATTAATAAATAAATCTTTTTAAAAAAAGATTCATTAAAAAAAAAGAAAAAAGAAAAAGACTGTCACAGAGATTAGAGCCCAACTCCAACAGAACATACTGTGGTGTTTGTGCTGAGGCCAAACTTTCTGTGAGGCGGTCCTGACTGAGGGCTTTAGGATCAGGTCTGCCTCCTGATACTGCCAGGCCCTTGCGCGATGTCTCCATCTGTCACTGAGTGACATGAACTTGAAAGCCCGCCTTGGGCTGCTGCTAAGACTCCAATGATGAACACGTGTGAACTGCCTCATGGGCTCACTCTGAGATCAGGAAGGAGCACAGAAGGGGAAATAACCAAGTGTAACCACGAAGGCTGCAGGATCAGGCAAGGCCAGGAGGGAGCTGGACACAGGGCAGACCTCCTAAGGAAGAAATTTTAGACTAAGCCGTCAAGGATGAATGGAAGTTGGAAGGTTGGGGTAGGTCTCAAAGTGCTACATGCTAGAGAAGGGCACACACAAAGGCCCAGAGTTTGAGAAAGTGTCCACCAAGAACTACAAGCAGCCAGATATGATGGTACATGCATTTATCAGCACTCAACTCTATGGGAGTCTGAGGCTAGCCTGATCTCGAGGGAGACTGAGGCAGAAGCATCATGGTCAGCCTGCTCTACATAATGGGACCCTGCATGGTGATTAATATTGACTGTCAGTTTGAAAGGATCTAGAATCACCTATAAGGGAAATCTCTGGGCATGTCTATGAGGAAGTTTTGATTGAGTTAACTGATATGGAGAAACCCATGCTAAATGTGGATGGCACCATTCTGTGTGCTGGGGCCTCAGACTGAATAGAGGTAGAGATAGATATATAGATGGATGATAGAAGATAGATAGATGATAGATAGATAGATAGATAGATAGATAGATAGATGATAGATGATAGAAGATAAATGATAGAAGATTAGATAGATAGATAGATAGATAGATAGATAGATAGATGAGAGAGCAAGCAGAGGGTCAGCGCTCATCTCTCTCTTCCTGACTGCGGATGCAATGTGACAAGTCACCTTGGCTTTTCTGCCATTCCTCCCTCAAATTGCATGTTGAGATAAACCCTTCCTTCCTCAGTTGCCTTTGTCACAGCAACCAGAAAATAAACTAATAGGCCCTGTCTAAAGAACTCCACAGTAGGGGGCTGGAGAGATGGCTCAACGGTTAAGAGCATTGCCTGTTCTTCCAAAGGTCCTGAGTTCAATTCCCAGCAACCACATGGTGGCTCACAACCTTCTGTAATGAGGTCTGGTGCCCTCTTCTAGACTACAGGCATACATACATACAGAACACTGTATACATAATAAATAAATATTTTTTTAAAAAAAGAACTCCACAGTAAGCTGGTGTGCCATAGACTCTGTGGGTGTGGAAGAGGGAGCCCCTGGGGGCTGAGGAGATAGGCAGAGCCCAGGCCTGAAAGGTCTCGGGGTCAGATCATGAATTTTGACCTTTATACTGGCAGCAGGGGAAAGCTGGTGACGGGCGTGAAGCAGGAAGAGGATGTGGTCAGCCTGAGCACATCTCCTAGAGTAGTCAGTAAGACCCTGCTGGGTCTACAGAAGGGTCTGGGCACTCAGAGAGCTGTGGGGGAACTAGGACCGCAGAGGGGCCTCGGGGCTCTGACCCAACTGAATGAAGGGAGGGACTCTTTAGTGAGCTGGGGCCTCTGGGCTGCTGTGGCAACGTTAGACTGTGTGGAGACATCCAGAGAAAGATGTCAAGAGGAAGCTTGCATAACTGACCTGGCTGTGGCAAGACAGAGGCCAGGAACCTAGGGCCCAGCTGGTCCCCAGCCTTGGAGGGCATGAGAGAGCAGGCCAAGAACAAGTACCCAGAGACAGGAGAAAGACGAAGAGTCTAAGGTGTCCACCTGAGAGAGGACACAGTGCCGCAGGGAGGAAGAAGTCAAGACAGCTGAAATTCTGTGAAGGCTCAGAAGACCCGAAAGTGTCACTAAACTCGGGCTTATAGAGGCCGCTCGTGAGCCCTGTGAGGTGCAGTAAACAGAGGAAGGGAAGCAGGGAAAGGCTGGAATTAACATTGGGTGTGCTTTTTAATTCAGGGTTGTATGACGCACACAGTGTGTGGAGTTCCTTATTGGGACAGGATGGATGCTATCCTATAACACTTTGTGTAAAGTTTGCTTTTTCTCCTTCTCACTAGTCTCAACGGAAACCTAATTAAGCCCGAGGAGGCCAAAGTCTTTGAGAATGAGAAGCGGATCATCTGTTTCTGATGGACTCTCCTGGGCTGGACCTTTGGGAATGAGAAGCAGATCATCTGTTTCTGATGGACTCTCCTGGGCTGGACCTTTGACCTAGGTTGCTCCTTGGTCACAGACAGCACTGCGCAGTCAGCAGAGATACAGGACGCTGTGCAGGGCCTGCAGCAAGGGGACTCTTAGGAGCCCTCCCCTGCAGATGCTCAGACTGGCAGTGCCCAAGCCATGGCTGGGAATGTGCAGACGTAGAGTATCTTAGGAGCCACTGTCACCACTCAAAACCAGCAAGCTTTTCTATACAAAGAGGTTCCCCTGCATAGCCACAACAGTGTCTGAAGATGAAAGGATAGGAAGCAGGGGGCCAACCTCAGCTCCCACAGATGCCTGCTTGCAGGATTCACGGGACCGATGGCACCTTCAGGAAAGAGCTGGGAACTTGGGCAGAGCCGACAGCAACTTTTCGCAAAGAAGGCACCTGGTGACCACACAGTTATCTTGAAAGCTCCTTCCTCTGCTCAATACCCCCTCCCACTGTACAGATCCGTTCCTTCCTCCTAGCCGTGATTATTGAAGTAGGTCCACCGTGGGGAGGGCTCATTCAAGGGCCCCCAGCGAGCTGGTTGTCAAGGGCTCATCACAGACTTTGGTTTCCGTTCTGGATTCTCCCTGGCTGCAAATGGGAATCAGAGGAACTCTAGGCCTTAAAGAGTACTGAGGTCCTGCCTAGAGTTTTCCCCCATCTCTGCCTGCCCCGCCCCCGGGGGGAGAATCAGTTCCCATCCTCCACAGCAGCAGGACTTGCCTCGATGGTCCTGCGATCTCAAGCAAAACTCTCTCCCTTGCTTGTGAGCAAGAAGTATGATCATGTTCTCAGCAGTTGGAGGGTGACTGAGCACAGCCAAGACTCAGATCAGCCAGCAAAGCATGGCAGATACCCACCACCATGGTGGGCATGTGGGGATGCCCAGCAGGGTGGGACGGCTGGGGATGTTGCCAGATAACATATTCTTTTACCACCTCATTTGTAAATAAAATATACTTGCTATTTCTAGTGGCTAAGTCTGGGGGTTTTCTGAAGGAACGCTGTCTGGAGGGAACATTAGGAGACTTGAGCCGCAGCCTGGCTCACTGCAGTGGGGGTCCTGGGGAGTCATGCTATACAGCAGAGGTGTCACCAAGGGACAAGAAAGGTGGAGGCAGCATCCAAGGTCGCTCTACCCGGTCTCTGAATCCAAACGGGCTGTTCCTGAGTCAGACACATGGGCGTGTCGGGGTGGAACAGGCCCCATTTCACACCTTCACCAAAGCACAGTGCTCCTGTAGGCCAGCTGTCTCCAGGGGCTCACTGCTGGGTGGAAGGCCAGAGGAGTTTACGGCAAGAGGCTCTGAGTCAATAGCGGTAGCAAGAGACAGTTCAGGGGACCCTCTGACTTCATCTTTTTGGTCCCAGAATTTGTGTGGTTTTGAAAGGGAGGGTACAGTTGAGGAAGCTAGGGGGAACACTGTAGGGTTTGACAACCCCAATTCCATCAGGGCAGTTCCCTTAAAAGCACTACTGTGGGGATTCCCACCCTCTCCACTACAGGCCCCGATATTCACCGAATAATCACCCTCTGGGGTGGCAGCATTCCCCTAGCCAGACTGGGAGGAATCTACCAGAAACACAGGAAATAGCAGCATGCCACGGGTCAGTGACGCTTGCAATGCGCGGCACGCTCCACATGTCTTAAAAGAACTTCTCCGGGACAAAGCACAGATTTATCAACAGTCAAAGTGAAACCCTTTGAGAGGCTAAAACGTTCTCATTATTGCCCTTGCGGCTATCAGAATTGTGACCTGGGGTGGCTGGGCATGAGTGTGGGTTTGGATTGCAAGTCTATCATACTTCATTCAGTCCTCCTGGTGGTGAGAGGCGGGCTCTGCTTTCTCAGAAACCGAAAGTAGCTCCCTGCTTTATAGCAGAGGCTTTGGGCCTACGGTAGGCAGAGGCTCCATATAGCCGAAGAAAAGAAAACTTGTCTTCCAGTGGCCCACCCCTGTAATCCAGCTGTGAAGAGGCTAAGGCAGGGCCGTTAGTTCAAGGTCAGCCTGGGCTACAACAGGGAAGAGGATTTGCCTAGGAGGTGCAAAGCCTGGGTTTCATCCCTGGTATTTATTTCCCTTCCAAATGTAAATGACAATGAAAAATTTCTATATGAATTTTGAATATAATTTATTTCCATAGGATGCTCTGACTGATTTGGGAAAAAAAACATACACAGTTCCTACCGTTCATAGATGCTATCATGGCATATCCAAGCTGATCTGGAACTTTTCTCTTAAAAATATTTATTTATTCATTTATTTATTTATTTGATGTGTGTGTGTGTGTGTGTGTGTGCGCGTACATATGTATGTGTGTGCTTGCGTGAATATAGAAGTCTGAGGACTTGTTCCTCATGTGCTATCCACCTTGTTTTTGAGACAAGGTATCTCATTGGCCTGGATCTCACTGAATAGGCTAGGCTGGGAGTCAATGGCTTATAAGGACCTCTGCTTGCCACCATACCTGGCTATTCTTTTAAATATAAGCTGTGGGGGTCACATTCAGGTCCTCATGCTTAAAGATAAGTACTTTGCTGACTGAGTTGTCTCCCTACACTAGATCGTACTTTGAAAAGTTGTGTAAATCACTACACACCTCCTGTGTGGGAAGTCCTTCTGTATGTGTGTTGCTTTTATTGGTTAATGAATAAAGAAACTGCTTTGGCCTGTGATAGAGTAGAATAGAGCTAGGTGGGATAAACTAAACTGAATGCTGGGAGAAAGAAGGTGGAGTCAGAAGATGCCATGGAGTCGCCAGAGGGGAAAGAGGCAAGCTGCCAGCTGAAACCTTGACAGTAGACCACAAGCCTTGTGGTAAAATATAAAATAATAGAAATGGTTTAACCAAAGATATAAGAGCTATCTAGCAATATGCTTAAGTGATTGGGCAAGCAGTGATTTAAATAATACAGTTTCTGTGTGATTATTTTGGGGAGTCTGTACGGCCGGGAAATGAACAAGCGGCCTTCTACAACACACCTGAGTAGAATTAACTTCATGGCACGCCTCACTCTGCCACAGCCTGCCTGTGGCTGTGGGCTGGGCATAAGACTCTTGGGATCTTGATTTCCTCCTTGAAAAGGAGAACCCAAGAGTTGTAACTGAGGAGTGTAACTGTTGAGAGCGGGAAGGGAGGAAGGAAGGGAGCAGCGCTGGCACAGGATCCCCACTCTACAGCACTAGCCCCCACAAGCCTGCCTTCCTCTCTCCCAGTCAAGTGGACTCCCCACTTGTTTCTTCTCCCTCAGGCTGAGGGAACCTCCCAGCAAAGTCAAACAGGACAGTCAGCTTCTCATCCCCTCCCCAACAAAACTGGGCATCATGCGTCTTATAATCCTCTAGCTCTGCCAATGAAGACAGTAGCTAGTCCTCACCAGAGTCCCTGAAAGGCACTGCGGTCCACGGGTGGACTTGCCGGGCACGGGTGGACTTGCCGAGCACGGGTGGACTTGCCGAGCACGGTTGGTTGCCATGTCTCCACTGCAGGAGTAAGAGCAGGGTCGGAGCTGGCACTACAGTGCAGACCCAGACCCTTTCAGGTTCTGCTATGGCTTCATTTTGAAAGAATCTCCCCAGTGTTGATGTGTTGAAGATTTGGTCCTCAATATGGAAAAGTCCCAAAGCTGGTGCTTTGGAAAAGTAATTGTGCAATGATGATCTGACCTCATCGAAGGGTTAATCTACTGATGGGTTATTGGAAGAAGGTATAAAACTCAGTTGGGGTCTATTTTTAGGTCAGTGGAGGCGTGCCCTGGAGAGGGTGTTTCTTGTTCCCTAGCTGCAACCTGTCACTCACTTGCTCCCTTATTGTCACTGCTTCCTGGCCACCCTGAAGAGAGCAGCTTTCCTCCTCCCCACCCTTTTGCCATGACTTCCTGCCTCACCCAGGCCCATAGACAGAGCCGAGGGACCGTGAGTTGAAACAGGGAACCGAGTTGAACATTTCTTCTCTAGGTTACTTGCTTCCTGGTGTTCTGTGACAATGTTGGGAAGCTAGCACTACTTAACCAGGAAGAGACATTAATATTTTTAGTTCATTTCCAGATGTGGCACATGTGGTAGTTTCTGGTAACGAACTACCTACCTAGTTGACAGAATCAAACAAAACCTTGCTATGGTGCTGAGAGGTAAAACCACGGCCATTATCCAGCTCTACAGAGCATGTGATCAGCTCCAGAGGTGGCCAAGACACGCTCACAATCACACAGACAGCTAAAAGCATCCTGTAATAGAGTTGCATGGGTGCGGGGGGCATCCCAATGCTGTTCGCATCAACTGAGATGGAAGGAACCTCACCCACAACCAGCTTAGGAAAACAAGGATGCTAAACAAGCGTGTGGTTCCCCCTCTTAATTACTTGACTACTCTTTTGAGTTGGTATGTATCAAAATGCCTCATGATTTTCCCTTAATTGTTTGCTCTCTCACTGTAGGGAAACTCAGAGTCAGCTCAGGATACCCCAAGACCAAATTCTCAGCACAGAGAGAATTTATTTGCCCCAGAGGGACAGAAGGAGGGGAATAAGAGACAAAGACAGGAGACAGAAGAAGGGGAAGTTATTTGTCCCAGTAGGGGTTGGAGGGCAGCAAAGACAAAGGACTGCGTCTAGATAGAGGAGACAGATGTGGCCCATGGATAAATGGCGGTTTATAAAGTAAGATAGGAAATCCAGTGTTAGGATGAGGTGTTTAATTTTAACTGGGCATGCTAATAGGTGATCCAAAGGGGGCTTTTGACTTTGATGGCAGGATCTTGGTCGTCAGCCTCAGGAGTAGAAATTGGCCTTTGTGGGATGAATCTTGGCAGCTAGCTTCAGGAATGTAATCTAATGGTTTTCAGAGGCAATGGGGGAGAAGGGCAAGGCCTGCCAGAGCCATGTTTGCCAGGCCTGGGCTGACTGGAGTTTCTTCACTCACAGCACACTTGTTTTTGTTAAAACCGACCTTATTATGTTGAACATTTAAAATACTGCACATTATCATGTTCCTTTCCTGTTGCTTTGACCAAATACCTGAGAAGTCCAGTATAAAGGGACGATTTGGGCTCATGATCTTGGAGGTGTCAGACCAAGGTTGGCTGGATAGGTGACTTAGACATATGTGGCAAAAGAGGCTGTTTACCCCCTAGCCATAGAATAGAAAGACCCAGAGGCTAGGGATGAAGGCCTGTGTCCCAGTGTCCACAGAGACTCAGAGGCTAGGGATGAAGGCCTGTGTCCCAGTGTCCACAGAGACCCAGTGGCTAGGGATGAAGGCCTGTGTCCCAGTGTCCACAGAGACTCAGAGGCTAGGGATGAAGGCATGTGTCCCAGTGTGCACAGAGATCTAGAGGCCAGGAATGAAGGCCTGTGTCCCAGTGTGCACAGAGATCTAGAGGCCAGGAATGAAGGCCTGTGTCCCAGTGTGCACAGAGATCTAGAGGCCAGGAATGAAGGCCTGTGTCCCAGTGTGCACAGAGAGACCCAGAGGCCAGGAATGAAGGCCTGTGTCCCAGTGTGCACCGTTTCCCAACTGTCCATTGAGCTACAAGTCTACTACAACTCTCATCATCCAATCACCTCTCAGTTAGTAGATCTGCCACATTAGAACTAAGTCTTCATCACATAATCTTATGGGGTACACTTCATACCAGACCAAGATAGTAACTACAGCTATTTAAGTTTTTTAATAATCTTCTACACTTTGCATTAATATGTTTAGGATTAAAAAATTGTTTAGTGTGTGTGTGTGTGTGTGTGTGTGTGTGTGTGTGTGTGTGGTCAGTGTACATGCACACCACAACATATATCTGGAGGTTAGAAAATGACTTCATGTGTTGGCGTGTTAACTATTCTCTTCCATCATGTGGGCGCCAAGAATGGAACTCAAGTCACCAGGCTTGTCAGTTATCTTTACCCATTGAGCCACCTCACTGACTCCTGAACCCCGTTTTCACTGTTCCAATCATGGCGCATGCCCGCAGTTCTTTTTATGTAACTCTGGCTGACCTGCACCTAGCTATGTAGACCAGGTTACCCTTGAACTCACAGAAATCTGTCTGTCTCTGCCTCTAAAGCGCTGGGATTAAAGGTGTGTGTAACCACACCCTATGTCTGTTGTTCCTTTAATAAAACATTTCTTTCATATTGTTATGCTCTTAACAACTCCCATTTG